TCCCAGCTCTCTCAGCCCCTCCTCATAGAAGAGATGCTCCAGTCCTTCATCCTGGTGGCCCTTTGCTGGACTCAGTCCAGTATGTCCGTATCTCTCTTGTACTGGGAAGCCCAGAGCTGGGCACAGTACTCCAGGTTTGGCCACAGCAGTACTGAGCAGAGGGGAAGGATCCTCTCCACCACTGGTCTTCTAGGTCCCAACCCCAGCAACAGGGAAGAGCTGGCTGAAAGAGTTAACATTACAGTAAATTGCTCATGAATTCTTTTATACAAACAATATATAAAGGTAACAATGTGAATGACAGGAGTAAATTAAGAAATAAAGTGTGCAGCTAGGTCCCATCAAGGTTGAAGTAACATTTGCTTACTCCAGAACTCAAGAAGCAGACACAAAAGGGTCTTTTGGAGTGGTGATCTATGTAGGGAGCCTGAGCATAGCAGAAGAAGTAACCTCCAAGTATTATTGAGAAAGGATGGCCAAGACACAAATTAAACTGCAGGAGATGATGGAAGGAAATTCTGGAACGTACCATAACTGTAAAACAAAACTAAATCATCCATGGTTGGTTTTGTACTGCTAAAATTGAAAACAATAGTTTATGCACCACAGGTGTTAGCAAAAAAATTAACATCAGTATTCTCAAATAGAGGAGAAAGCTTTGGCTTATTCTGTAATAGCAATAAATGCCATGCCTTTATTGATAGGAAACCAATATTAGCAGAAACTGATCATAAAAATACTCATCGGCAAGAGCGATGGAAGAAAAGACTCCAAGTGTGTGACCTGCAAATCAAACGAATGCTCAGGATGGAGCCGGTATTTGCAGACACTCTGTCTAGACGTTCGGCAGCCATGCAGCATCTCCACAGCCAGGAAAAGGTCTGGAACCTCTCGAGCTGCTAATGGAGGGCTCCGTTCAGCTCCGGGGAGCAGTTGCCCAGCGCTTTCTCCCTCCAGGACCAACATTCCTCTGTGCCATCCCCACCGCTGCTGCTGTGAGCGTGACCCTTCAGGTCATGGCAGCAGCTCAGGGCCCCTCGGCCATGGTTTTCAATCCACACGTGAGCTGTGCCCCAGCCTGGCCACGCCAGGGAGAACCAACAGGGGATTATCCACCCTCGGGCTTTCTGCTCCTGACCTGGAGCTGGCGTGGATGCAGTCCCCTGTGATCCACCTCTCGCAGGACAGCCTTGCAGGGTATCACCACGCTGGCCTGCACAAGCACCTTCAGAGGATGGAAGAACCTTTTCTGAAGGAAGACAGGGCTCTCACCAGCCTCAGCCTCCTGCCCATGCCCGTGTACTTCAAGGCCATGTCTGAATCTCATCAGTATTTTCTGGTTTGCCTCCTTTTCCCCTTCCTGGCCCTAATTGCATTTTCTTCAGCAACTTTGTTCTTTAGGTCAGCCAGGGGGGTTGCATTACATCAGGATACATACCCTAAAGTTATCCAGGAGGGCAATGTGTCCTCATCTGTCAAAACTGAAGCCTGGAATGTTTCTAACCAAGCTTTCCTTGGAGGCTTTGCCGGTGGCAGTGACAAAGAGCTCCGGTTGCCTCTCTCCACCCAAACCCCGCTGAGGAGATGGGGATGCTCGGGGAGTCACACATCATCGTTCTCCTCCCCACTTCAGATGAACCAGTGGCAGTTGGGGCTGAAAGATGGCCTGAAACTTTTCTGTGGTTTCAACACAGTGGGAAATGCTCAAGCAGGAACCCAAAATAGCTCCCTTGCAAGCCACGGAGACAGTAACCTCAGCTACAGGCTGGCAGGTTCCCTTTTGAACTAGCCTGACTCTGCCCTTTCAGATTCCTGATTTGCAGCACGCTTTGTGCAATCAGCCCTGTGTATTAGTAGAGGATTAGGAATGACAAAATTATTCTTCCTGCATCTTTAGCAATGTTTGAATGAGAGTGCTTCTTCAGGCAAACATATTCTTTATGGGTATTTAGGCTTGTAATCATTATCCGTTTCAAGCTAAAGGCAGTTAGAAGTTAAAAAAACACCTTTTTCATATGACTTTCTGCATAGGAAAAAAATAAATAAATTACATAGTGACTGGCAAGAAAAAGTAAGGTGAGGTTTGGCCCCAAAGGCTCTGACACACCACCACCAGACGCGCGGTTTTCTCAGAACGATGAATTTCGGAGCTGCTGGGAAGGCGAGTGCTGATGTCTTACTGGAGGACTGGTGCTTCGCTGCCGGAGGCCGAGTTTTTCCAGGGCAGTTTTGCACACACGTTTCACGTCTTTTCCTGGTGCGGTCCACTTGCCATGTTCCCATTTCAGCATATACAAACCTAAAACCAGAAGTCTGGCTTACAGATGGTTTCTGCACCCTTCGCCCGTGGCGGCCGTGCCAGGGGCAATGGTGTGGCACCCCTCGCCGGCGCAGAGGCGGCGGCGGGAGGTTTGCTGTTGGATTTGGGGAGAAAGGAGCTGGAAGGGAGAGCGGAGGGGTGGGAGCAGCACGGGGGGGGGGGGGGGGTCACCCACCTCTGGTGTCCCTCCAGCTCCCACGCCCGGTCCCTGCCAGCTCTGCGCCCCTGGGAGCCACGTGTCTGCGTTCACCTCTTACACGCCGGCTTCTTGCTCGTTTTCAAGGCACCTTTTTGGCCGTAACGGTCCTCACCTCACCATGTTCACTTTCTACTGGATAGTTTTTATGTCATTCAGTTCCCCCGTCTTTAACCCTATTATTTTGGGGATAAAAACGAGGCAGATTGGGAACAGTGATCCATGCACGGAGGCAGAGGGGGTGAATGTGCCGAGGGCTCTAACTGCAACGTGCCACTAAGGGTTTAGAAAAAGAGACTTTAGCATGAAAGACCTTAATCCCATTTAGCTTTCTGAAGTGAGGCTTGATATACCTTGGGCAAATCTCTTAACCTATCTTTGCTGCTCAAAATGAAAATAAATAACACTTCTTTCCTTCTGTCCTCATAAACTGGCAGGTTCATAGAAACTGCAAACCCTCTGGGTCTCTTGTTAGGCGACTGTACGGTAGGCGACAATACAGCCATGATTTCTCCTGTAACATTAAGTTGCTAGCATTAAAGGAGCGATAAAGTAATGATGGATTAAGTACCCATTGCCGTAGAGATAACAGTAAATTATACACGCGCTTGCTACTGCAACCTGCTCTGACTTGGAGACAAGCATCAATTTTCTGATTCCTAACAGCCACCTTTAAACAGGTAACATGGGTTTTGTTTTTTACTTATAATTTCTTCATTAAATAACAATGCCATGCATAAAGTCAAGGTACTGAAAGAAAACTATTATGTTCCATCTTAGAATGGCATTAAATATTTTTTGGCTATTTTTAGATATAGTAACTCAGACGAAAAGGGTATTTTATAAAGCAACAAAAGTGCTGGCAGTGGGTGTGTTCAGTTGTACACCCCACCACACCAGGCTGCTCTGAGGAGCTCTGCAGCCTCTGTCCAGGTCTGCAGCTCTGCTTTGGGGGCATGTGTTGCTCTGATTCCTCCAGTTGCTGTTGCAAAGTGATGCCCGAGAGATTTTTTTAAGCTCTTGGCCAGATACTCCAGGAAAGCAGCCACTCTGGAGCAAGAACATTTTCAGGATTTGGTAACAATGATTTGTTTCAATGCTTAGTTAATCTCTACTTTCTAGATGCCAGAGATTCCTCTAACCTATGAACGCACCATTATTCATTCCTGAAAGGTAAGACCTGCGGCCCGGGGAGGTTATCCATCATTCTTTCGACTAGTTTCTCACCGGTACGTGCAGCTCTTTGTTGGTTCTGCAGCATTGTCTGCTGGCTGCAGGACTCCATTTCACAGCATCACTGCCAGACACCCGGTCATCCCAGCACGGTTACGGGTTACGCTGAGCCTGTCGAAAGCATCTCGCCCACGCTACTGACATGCTTCTTCACTTACTGACATGCTTCTGACACAGCGAGGGACACGGGGACACGTTTGCCTGGCGACTGGCTTCACTCAGCTAACGGCAGCGAGGTTTGCTGCTTGACAGGAAAAGGTAAAGTGAGGTTTCTCCCCGAAGAATTGGGCACACCGCCATCAGACACGCCGTCTGCTCAGGAAGGTGAAGTCTGGCGCTGCTGGGATTTCCAGGCCGGCTTTGCACACGCGTTTTGTGTCTCCTCATGCTGTGCTCCACGTGTCATGGTCCCGTTTTAACACATTCCCTGCCAAGCCTGGAAGCAGGACTTTGGTGTGCGTTGAGTGCCGGCGGCAAAACGGCACGTGCCGCCAAGGGCAGGGCAGTTCTCTGCAGCACTGGGACGGCCACCGGCTCCCTGCCCCGGCAGCTGCACCCCCCCCCCACATGAACACCCAGCGCTGAGCTCCCCGATGCACTGGCGGGGTCTGGCGTCAGCAAAAACATCTGGTTAGCACCAAACATCTGGAAAGGAGCCTCCCTTGGGGTGAAGTTTCCAAGCTGCGCCTTTCTAGCCACGGGGAGGGTGCCTGGCACCTCGGTGGCCTCACCAGGCTGTTCACCCCCCCCACCAGGCACACATGGAGAGGAGCTGCTCCCCCCAGCCCGGCTGCATCTCCCTCTTCCAGCCCACCCCCCAAGAGGTGCTGCCACCGTCCCGCAGGCTCAGCCCCAGGGCCGAGGATCATCGCCCTCCTGCGCTCTCCCAGTGCAAAAAAAAGCATCCAACCCTCCCCTGCAGCCGGGATCCCACCCCACCCTCTCTTTCTGTCTTCCTCCGACCCACCACTGACCTCTCAGCTCCTCTTTAAAAAGCGGCTTTCTTGTAGGGGCAGCTTTTTGGGGCCCACGAGGACACTCAGAGCACTGGGAGAGTTTGCCTGTGTAGAGACTGACACTTCTGGAGCCAAAGGCACACCCAATCTGAGGCCTCTGAAGCATCCCACTCCTCTATTATAACCTATTTTATTGCAAAATAAATAGTTTCAGATATTCTTTTGGGAACAGTCTTTCACCTATGTGTTTACTCAAAGTATGGCCACATAATAGTTAAGGAATAGAGAGACCCCATGCATGTGCAACACTTGCTTTTATTTCTGTCTTACTCCTTTTGGAGGCTTTTTCAATACTATGAAATTTAATAGAAGCACTGCCTAAAATGAATGAACTCCATATTACACACCTGTGATTCAGAAGAGCAAGTTCATTATGTGTCTTTTCACCTGACTCCAGACAAAATGGCTGAGATGTTCATTTATTGTCACACTGCAGTGAAAGCCGCCTGCCTCCACCTTGCAGGGGATTTCCCACAAGTTACATACCTGGGGGGGGTTCTCATTTCTTTTATCGCTCTCCTTCAACTGCCAATTAGAGACCCTGACTTTTGTCTTACATTTCCTACAAACCGTTGGGGAAAGCAGTGCGGCGAGGTCGGGTGTTCTGTATTTGACTGTGATAGCAGAAGATTTAGGCACGTTGCCTGAAATAGTGCAAAGAGAGCACTGGGGTTGAGGAGCTTGGAGTCTCGCCAAGGTGTTCATCGCTTTCTGATTGTGACATCTCACTTATTCTATCAACAAACGACTCTTGGGGCAGATGAACCCTTTCACAACCTTCTCTTTTATCTGATGTGTCCGCACACCATACACGATAGGGTTCAGCAGTGGGGGGAAGAGCACGTACAGGTTGGCCAGCAGAATGTGGATGTGGCGGGGGATTTCCTGACCAAAGCGATGTGTTAAAACGGTGAAGAAAGCAGGAATATAGAAAAGGAATATAACACAGACATGAGAGCCACAGGTGTTGTAAGCCTTACGACGGGCAGTCCTGGAAGGGAGTCTGAACAACGCCAGGAGAATTAAGACATAGGAGACAGCAATGAGCACAACATCGACCACTATTGCTGCAAAAGGCACCGCGAGGCCATACAAGATGTTGACGGAGATGTCGGCACAGGCCAGCCGGGCGATGCCCATGTGCTCGCAGTAGGTGTGGGGGATGACGTTGTGCCCGCAGAAAGGCAGCCTTTTCAAAAGGAATACACACGGGAAAATGATGCAGAAGCTTCTCAGTAAAGCCACCAGCCCGGTTTTGGCAACGGCTGAGTGGCTCAGCACTGAGGCATACCGCAAGGGGTAGCAGATGGCGACAAACCGATCGAACGCCATGGCCAGCAGGATCAGCGACTCCGCCGAGAAGCTGAAGTGCAGGAAGAACATCTGGGTCAGGCAGGCGCCGAAGGAAATCTCCCCCGCGCTGAACCAGAACAGAGCCAGCATCTTGGGCACGGTCGTGGTTGACAGCACGAAGTCAGCGACGGCCAGCATGGACAAGAAGAGGTACATGGGCTGGTGGAGGCTACGTTCTGTCCTTATGACGTACAGCACCACAGCATTTCCCAGCAGAGCCGCCAGATACATGGAGCAGAATGGGATTGAAATCCAGATGTGCAGCTTCTCCATCCCTGGGATGCCAGCCAGGATGAACGTTGCTGGCGTCAAGCTGGTAAGGTTGAATGGTGGCATGTTGCACCTGAAAGCGAAGGCAGAAGACACTGAAGAATGTTATTTCAGATACTGAAGCTCTTCCATCACTAGCAAAGGCCCTGTATCACCTTCTCTGATCTGCTAATAGCCACAGCCGGAGGTATAAACCCAAATTATAAAGACCCATGGTGTGCAAAGTATTGCAGCATGAACTTATACTCCTGTTATGTGCAAACAGCAATGTCCAACTTTTCTCCTCACTTGATTTTAACACAATGTAAGTGTATTTTTCTTCCAAGGACTTCCACTTAGACCAGAGTGATTAGAGACAGAATCGACCCTCACTGCACAAATACCTTAAATTGATGTTCTGCAAGTTCAGAGTAGAAGGAAGAAGTTGAGCAACGAGAGAGGAGAGTCAAGCGTTTGCAGGGGCGCACAAAATGTTCTCAGTCATCAGGAACTGCAGAGGGGTTAATTGGGAGTTTTAAGGTACTTGGACTCACACTAGGTTAGAGAACACAATTAGCTCTAGGTTTGAAGTTGGCTTCCCATGTTCCTTCCTTATCTCCAAACTTCTCTCTCCCTTTCCTTTTGGTTCTGGGACCCACTTCAGCTTGCTTTGCACTCCTTTGTCAGTGCCAATCTAGCAGAAACAAAATTTATCCAGGCACTTGGAGAGACATTTGTGTCAGGGGAAAGCCTGTGTGAGACAGTTTCCCCACCAGACAAAGAAAGGGATGCGCTGCTGCCCTGGAGAGGTCTAAAGAGCACTGGAGGCTGCATCGGACCCAGACTCACACCAGTTCAAATGGGCTGCGACGTTTTTCCAGCAGCTTCTGCAATAACAGTCAGCTCTTAAATACCAAAACTCAAAATAGGAATTACCCGTAACACAGCTGACATGAGAAAGTGATGCAAGTACTTAAAAACAACACTGTGAAGTTGCTTCATACCAAACTATTGACTCCATGTATGAGAGAGAAAAGAGATTTGATTCCCTGTTCACAGTCAGTGAGAGACACAAGCCTAAAATATCCTGAACCAAGAAAGCCCAAGGAGCCTGCTCCATAGAAACAAAACATGACAGGGGACTGCCTTTAAAAATAAAATTAGTCAAAAAAATAACTACCTAATTCTGTAAGTTATTTACAACAATTCAGTATAAATATCACATTAAATAAAAACACATGTGATGTATTAACAGACAAAATATTCTTAATGCTGGTAAAATATCTATTCTGTGCTGCCACACCAGGAGCTAGTCATCCCTTGCAAAATGCAAATGTTAAACTGCAAATAAACAAAGATCCACTGCACCTGCAGGCAAGAATCTCATTGCAACCAGGAGCTCTGCACCAGAGGAGTCTCTCAGCATTAGACCCCTTCCTCCACAATCTACCTGCAAAACTGTATTAATACAGATGCAGCTCTAAGGATGCAGCTCCTACAGCTACCCCCGAGCAGTCCCTTGGATTCTTCTTTCCTAAAAGCTCTTAATCCTAATTTAAACTCAAAGCTATAACCTAGGGAAAAAAATCACAGTCCTCCAGAGCTGCCTAAGGATTACAGAAAGGCAGAAGTCTGTCGCTGTGAGCATCTCTGGGTTTGCCCAGCGCATCCCAGCACATCCCAGCGCATCCCAGAGCATCCCAGTGCATCCCAGTGCATCCCAGAGCATCCCAGTGCGTCCCAGTGCATCCCAGAGCATCCCAGAGCATCCCAGCACATCCCAGAGCATCCCAGTGCGTCCCAGTGCATCCCAGAGCATCCCAGAGCATCCCAGTGCATCACAACACATCCCAGCACATCCCAGCACATCCCAGTACATCCCAGCACATCCCAGAGCATCCCAGCACATCCCAGCACAAGGGCTCTGGGCGAGGATGCGGCTTCCCAGTGCTGCGGAGGGAGCGGGGCTGGAGCCCCCCTCGCTGCCAACCCGGGGGGGGGGGGGGGGGGGGGGGGGGGGGGGAGTGCACAGCCTCCCCTGCAAACAATCAGCCTTCAGCAGAGAGGTTAGGGAAACAAAAACAGGATGGGAGAGAAAGGCTCCACTGGTGAGTCACTGCCTGCTAGCAAGAGACTGAAGATAAAGGAAGGTTGGGGGGAGCACCGTGCCCCGCTCAGCAGCTCCGTGGGTGCCCTCCAGCTGAGGAGACGTGCCCTGGGATGTCACCCCGGCTCCTCCAGCCCCACCTTTGCACCCACACCTTATCAGCGCGTTGCTCCCCGCACCCACACGTTATAAGCATGTTGGCCTCCGCACCCACACGTTATAAGCATGTCGGCCTCCACACCCACACGTTATAAGCGTGTTGGTCTCTGCAGACGCGCTCGCAGGTCCCTGATGTGCGGCACTGTGCCTGCCCTGCCTCCCTTCCCACCAAGCACACAATTATACCCGCGTTGCTTTGCATCTCCCGTCCTCGGGGCCCTGGCTGGGCTGACGTGATGTAGCTGCAGGTTGTGGCAAGACACTGTCAAGCTTTGGGAGAAGGGGTGTGACAAGTCCTTAAAAAAAAGCAGTCTGACTTGTCAAAAGACCGAGCATGGAGGCATACAAACTCGATGCAATTACTTTTGCAAATATCTTAGCACATATGTATAAATAGCAATCCATATTTTGAATAGATTACTGAGCATGATGCATAACACTCTTGGTGATTAATGCAAGAGGAGGAATTTGGAAGAGTTTCCCCATTGCAATGAGATAGGCAATTCATGGGCTGGGCTCCTCGAGGGGATGGGAGGAAAAGTTTGGGGCTTAGGAGCCCTCCTTGAATGACTGGCCACTGCCCCTGGTCCCCAGATCAGTCGGTGACCACCCCTCCCATCAGCCCCTCAGGAATCTCACCATACATAGGGCTAGAAATAAATTAGCCTGTAGAAACTATTCTCCGCAGGCTGAATCATTTCAGTACACGTTAGCCTCCAAGCAGAGGCAGCTGCGGACGTCGCAGGCTCAGCAGCACGCCCACACCTGCAGAAACACAGGAAGATTCGGTCCAGAAAAAGAAATAAATTTCACAAGGGCAGTTGTGGAGGACAGCATTCGACACGCATAAAGCCCCCGCGGCACAAGTGCCACTGTGCCAAGGCTGGTTTAGGATCCGTGCTGCCTGGCTGTGGCAGAGCCCAGGGCCAGCCGCAGGCTGCCGAAGTGCTGCAGGACGCATCGATGCTGCAGCGGCTTCGCTGCTTCGGGCACCTAAAAAAAGCACCGTCGGTGCTCCCCCGGGTGACGTGGGGCAGAGGACGTTCGTTGCCTCGGCCAGGCTGGAGGGGTGAGGTGTGCCTGGAACCGTCCGCCGCTGCTGCCAGGGCAGGAGCCAGTGCCAGGGAACGCCAGAGCTCGGCCGCCGGCACGAATGGGCAGCACAGCATTTCCCCGGGGTGGGGGGGGGGGTGTTGCAGCCAGAGCCAGCAGACTCTCTCCTGCTCCCCAACACAGGAGCTGGCAGTGCCCAGGGCTGGATCAGCCCCCTGATTCGGAGCGTGGTGAGCATCCCAGACACGGGGCCTGCTGTTCTGCGCCTGCCAGGCTCCCGGCAGTGCACCCGTGCCTTCAGGCACCTTTAAAAAAGCCCAGCTCCAGGGGATGAGGAGCAGCTTGCTAACAAGGTAAACAGCTGAAGTTTATCAGCCCAGCTGCCCCCGCGGACAAGAAGAGAGAAGGACGTGAAAGCAGCGGCAGAGCTCATGCTGTCCTGCGAGCACAAATGGTCCTTACGCTCCCTGCTACACAGGCTGTGAGGGACCACGGTCCTCCAGCAACAGCCAAACTACACCAGAAACGCCATGCAGAAGCTGAGCAAAGTCAGGAGTTAGTTTTTGTGGGAAAAAAAAAAAAAACTATCACAGAATCATAGAATAGTAGGTTGGAAGAGACCTCAAGGATCATCTGGTCCAATCTCTCTTGGCAAAAAATGCCAAAAAAAAAATAATCTACATTCAGTGATTTCTTCATGTGTCATGAGTTCCTCCCAGGTTTACCAAAATAACTGATGGAACAAAGTCTTACTTTAAAATTCTTGTGCTTCAAATTCAAGCAGTTTTAAGGTTTCAGTTACAAAAAAAGTACTAAAAAAAATTGCCACTTTAAACACATTTTAACCTTTTGTTTCGTATAATATTTTGTGTGTAAATGCTCCACCAATTTTGAACGCATTTCCTGAGGTGATGCCCTATGCCGTTCCTCCTCATCTCCAGCCACTGACCTGGTGGGACACAGGTGTCTTGTAGGTCCTGCGTCACCTCCACCAGCCCTGTGCCGATGCCTCAGATGCCCGCGGGCATCTCCAGTGGTGCTGGGCTCCCCTGCACGACAGCGGAGCCACGCCAAGGCCTCCGCGGGGTGCAGAGAGAGGCTGGGTGCACAACTCCCATCTCGAGCCCTACGTTTTGGTGTCTACCACCCACACTGACCTCAGCCCCAGCATCAGCCTTGGTGTCCTGGGTTGAGTGAGTGGTGGAGTTTTTTGGTGGCAGGGGAGGGGGCTATCGGGGCGGCCCCCTGGGAGAAGCTTCTCGAAGCTCCCCCAGCTCCACGTCAGCTCCACTTCTGTTTGAGAAATTGAGCCAATCAGCTGCACCTCTGCGATAACGTATTTAAGAAGGGACGTGGTGACGGGCAGTGGGACTGGTGAGGAGTTGCTGCAGCTGCGTGAACACCAAGGTCAGTGGAGGAACGGAGGAAGAAAGGAGGGGGGAGGTGTGCCGGAGCAGAGACCCCCCTGTATCCTGTGGTGAGAGGCAGGGCGGCCCCCCCTGCCACCCATGGAGATCTGCGGTGGAGCAGACATTGATTTATGGCCTGTTGCTCCTGCTCGGCATAATCAAGGTTCTGTGCCCGAAGAAGGCCGGGGTCTCATGGGAAAAGGCAGCCCCCGCTGCTGTAATTCAGTGCTGGGAGGATTGCAGCATGCGGGGGAGTCCCACACCGGAGCAGCTCGGGAAGGGCTGCAGCCGTGGGAAGGAATCCAGTCGGAGGAAGTTAGTGACCCATGACGGAGCAGTGTGGGGAACGCTGCGGCCCATGGGAGGAATTCAAGTCGGAGAAAGTTTGTGGAGGACTGTCTCCTGTGAGAGGGGGACCACGACGGAGCAGGGGGTAACAAGTTTTGGACACTCCCCTCACCGAAGAGAAGGGAAGTGGCAGCACTGACTGAACCCCCCATTCCCTGCCCCTGCGCCACTGGGGGAGGAGGTAGAGATATCGGGAGCAGAGCTGAGCCCGGGAAGAAGGGAGGGGTGGGGGGAAGGTGTTCTCAAGATGTGGCAATGCTTCTCACTGTCCTACTCTGTTATGTGTTGTTAGTGTCTGTAATAAATGTATGTTCTTTTTTTCTTCCCCTAACGAGTCTGCCTTTTGCTCGTGATCATAAAAGGGGGATTTTCCCCCATCCCAGTCCTATCTTGAACCCCAAGCCTGGCTCTCTGTCCCTTCTCATTGCCGGAGGGGAAGGGAGAGAGAGGTGCTGCATTGTGGTTGGCTGCCAACCAGGCCTAAACCACGGCACTTGGGCAAAGAGCCCAGCCCAGATCGCAGAGGCTCTGCACGCGTGTCCAGCCTCGTATGACCCCAGGGGCAGGCGTTGTCATCCGCGTGCTCGAGCAGGGCACAAAGCCGAGGTGTTTCCCGGCAGCACGATCCTGAAGCCTTGGTGGCAGTTTTAACCAGGGAGTTTGCAAAGTCTCGACTTGGTGCAGCTGATGGTCCTCAGGCCACGGCTGCTGCGTGGAGACCCGGCGAGCCCGGGATCACCGTCCCCGGGATAACCTGCATCCCTGAGACCAGCATCCTGAGGCTGAAGCTTTCGCCCGTCAGCAAACGGAGGCCATGACCGAGATCAGCTCGTCTGTTCCTGCCAGGGGCTGATGCTCTCACAGGGAATTCGCTTTATCACAGCGGGTCGGGTGAAGCCCGGCTGCTGGGGTCTGTTGTGAGAGAGGGGCTTTTTCCAGCCACAGTCTGCTGAGCACCAAGCCCGTGTCCCCAGGACCAACCCTCCAATTGCCTCCTGAGAGGTGAAAAAGGAGGGTGTGGGGAGAAAGAAAGAACAAGACGCAAAATAGCAAGGAGAGACAGGACAGAAAAAGTCTGAATTTGGCACAAGAATAATGGCTAAAGAACTGTAAATGGACCAGGTGGAGGAGGAGGTGAAAGAAACAGGTAGAAAACCTCTCACTGGACATATTGTAGGGGAAGGATCCTGGGAGAGAAAACACTTGCAGAAGAAAAGAGGGGGAAACCCAGAGCAGGAAGGAGGAGACTCATAGTTTAGGTGGCAGGGCAGAGGGGACGGGTGAGGAGCAGGAAGGCAGCGAGATGATAGGACGGGTGGAGAACTGGGCATCACTGACGGGTACCATAAGCCTCATGGACTTTACTCCCGTAGGAGAAGCAGTGGCAGAAATGAGATTGTCTTTTAAAACAGCATTTGCTCGGTTGAGGAAAGGATACTCCCTGTCTCTCTTCTTTAGGACCAAATTTCAGAAAAAAAAAAAAAAAAAAAAAAAAAAAAAAAAAGCTGTCAAAGTACCACTGTTGGTTTTGGAGTCCAAATGGGAGGCAAGCTCATTTATCATCTGGTCTTCGGCATCTCTAGATCTCAGTTCTTAACCTGTAAAAAAGCCTGTTTTCCCTCTCTGCTGTCTTTTCCTGACGTGTTTTTCTCCCTGTGTACACACCTGGATCGCAGGCTCTGTCTGTAAAGGGGCAGCACCACATTCAGGTAGGGCCTGTGCTGAGTCTCAGAGCACAGAAAGGTCCTCACGCCTGTTGCGTTTGAATGCGAGAAACCCTTGCAGCTAAGAGGAAATTCATTCTCATGGATAGAAGAATGTTACAGCACACAACTTCTTAATGTGCACCCCGCTGTTTTTATTGTGCGATGAGCCTGAAACACAACAATCAACAAATGAGGTACTGCGACGGGTTCATTTGGATGAGCCAGTTACGGTACCTTGCTCGATGATGGTGCTTTTGACAGTATCTTCACTGCTGCATTGATCTCTCCTTCTGCATCAATCAGTGCCTGCAAGTTTGCACTTTGGTCCTGGAAGCCCATGGCACTGAGCTGCTCCATTTGTTTCTTAAATCTGACCTGTGGTGCCTCCTCATCCGCCTCCCTCTGACCCTCTGCTTCTTCCTCATCTGACACCAAAATCACATCCTCCTCAGACTCACTGCTTGGTGCCGAGTAGTCCATGCTCTCCAGATCCAGCTCCACATGTGACTCCTTCAAACAAAGGATAAAATCTGGTACTTCTACTGAGAGGGTCTGCAATCCCAGCTGGACCTGTAGCAACGCCTGCAGCGCTCTGGGGTTTCTCAGCAAGGATGAAATCTCAGCGTTCTCCATCTCCGGTGGCAGCTGCTGCGCCCATTGATCTGGAGGTAGAGAATTTTCATCGCTGGATAGATGAGGGCTATTCAGCAGCAGTTGTGCTGGGCTGCTGGGGTTCGTCAGCGCAGTTCCTAGCTCGTGCATGAGGTCTGGGTCTCCTGTCAGCTGCTGAACCACGCTCTGAGCCTGCCCCGCGTTGGGTACCACTGCGCCGGCTGCCGTACCCACACTCGGCGAGATAAAACCTTCGCCTGCATTGCTGCTGACAAATTGGCTGTCAGAGTCATCTGCATTATCGCTGCCTCTGTCGGGCTGTGGAGCCCAAGGGTTGGGTAGCGGCGTCCGGTTTTCAGTATGGGCTGGTAGCCTGGGTCCGCTCGGGGGTGAGTTACTGTTCAGGGAAGCAAACGGGTTGTTGCCCAGCTGTGCCTGCACAGCATCCAAGATGGGCTCCTCAATTTCCCTGTACAGCTGCTCCAGAGCACTGTACCCCCCGGGGATGCTTTCGAGGTTGTTCATGGCCACATCGTGATTCCTTATCATCTCTTGCATTACGGCAGGGCTGCTGAAGGCCTCTAATATTTCTCTGGTAGTATGTGGGTTGGTGAGAATCTGACCGATCTCGGGGTTTTCTTCAGCCAGCTGCTGCATCTGAGGGTTGGACATGAGGAGGTCCCTGACAAGATCAGCATTGTCAAGGATGTTCTCCATGAATGTGCTCTGCATCATCTCGCCTCTCAAGCCGTGTGCGGACACATCTTGTTCTTGAATGCTACGCTCCAAGTCCAACATGTCTGTTGAGTCCAGGCCTAGGAGATGTACGCCCGTGACCCCGAGGAGGAACCCCAGCAAAAACGCGTTGTTGTTGATGGCGTTCAGATCCAGGCCTGAACTGAGGATCCTGGACAAGAGGTCCTCCATGGTCTGAGCCACTATTTCCTGGCTGGAGGTCAACAGCTCAGGCAAGTTACCATGGATCAAGCACGGATTTTGCACATCAGCTATGCTTCCCAAGTAGAATAAATTGGAATTACTGTGCCTGGGAGGTCGCATCACGGTGGTCACTCTTTCTTGATCAGACAGGATGTCCTCTGGGTTCTTTGGGGACCTGATGACCACATGGATTTTGACCCCACTGTGAACTCCGTGCTGGCTCAAAGTGTCTTGATCCTTGAGGACTTTCCCAGCAAATATCAGGACCAGTAGATCAGGGGATGTTTTGAAACGCTTGGCAACTTCTTCCTTAAATTCCTGGATGGTGCTGCTCTGAGCAACCTCAAATTTCTCCTTCTGCTTGAAGGTCTTCACAGTAACGTTGATGATATTTGAGGAATCCATGGTGACAACAGGTTGACTGGTCTCCGCTGCCCTTTTGCTTTCAGACATGGTGTCTCTGAGACCAGGACAGTGCTTTGGTCTGTTGAAAAGCAGAGGTGCGGGCAGGAGGTTGAGAAGCAAGGAGGGGCAGTGGCTGCCAGCTGAGACTGGGGGTGGCTGCTCCTCCTGCGATGGTGGCAGCTGACGGGAGGGAGCAGTGACACAGGGACAAGGACCGCCTCTCCCCGCAATGCAGATCGAGTGTACGTACCAGCCAGATGTTGCACAGCTGCTCTGCTCGCTCACCACCCAAGCAGTGCCCCCATGATCTTTGTCCTGCTGTGGCCTCCTGCCCACATAGGTGGTCGTGATGGAACCATCCCTGGACTGTGACATCACCGCTGATGTCAGAAGGAGCAGCAATGGCCTGGAGAGGGGGGACCTCCCTTGGAGCTGAGCTTGGGCTTCCTCGCCTCCACGGTCCCCGGCCAACCCAGTCCCTGGGGCACGGGGAGGGCCACGACATGGGACAATCGGGGCTCAGGGGACTCCAGGACCATTTCCATTGAGGACAACCACCGCGCCTGGCCGCTCGCAGGCCGGTGTTGCCAACCCCATTGCAAAGCCCCCCCTGGCACTGACCCTCTCCACTCCAGCCCTTGCACCCCTGTCTCAGTGAACACCCCCCTCCTGCCAGGTTTCCATCCCAGGCCCATCACCCGTTGGGTCCTTTGGTGGTTTTTCTACCATCCCTGCTGTGGAATAATTACTAAAATGACCAAAGTACAGCATTGTTCACACATTAAGGAAAGGTATGAAATCAAAAGGCGTCTAGGGTAAGATACAGCTGCAGCTGGTGTGTGAAGGATCCACCACGTCACCGGCGATTCCCGGGGCGATATCGCTTGCAAAGCACCACGGGGAGCGAAGCGGGCTGGAGAGCTCAGGGTCCCTCCCCGTGATGGTACAGCAGGTACGGGAACGAGCTGGTGCTACAGACCTGATAAGCTGCACGCTGGCCACCCTGAGCCAACCTCCTGTTGGATTTGGATGCAATGCTGTCCTGTGTGTGAGCTTTGCTCATTAGAATGTCATTAGAATACCAAAACACACCTCCATCCCAAAGGCTGCCTGCCTCCAAGGTGCGACCGCTCCTCTTTGAGTCTGAGCCCTGAATTTTCGTAATTTATACCTTTAACTGTAGTGCAAGAGAATTTTACTCCAATCCTAATAAAAGTATTTATGACTAGAGTCACTCAAACTCCACCTTGAAGGTAAAAAATAGTATAAAATTAGCCCAAGGAAGGTGGGGGAAGGCATCATCGTATGAACTTCTGGGGCCAGTTGATGGGCTGAGCCTCTCTTTCCCTCTATAGGGATGCCTTTGGGTAAGACTTAAGAGCTTAGAAATCTTTCTAGAAAGTCTCCTTTCCAATTTTATAGCCTGGCTGTATTGTTATAATTCTGTTGCGCTCTTTATATATTCTCTTATTTGCACGTGCTTTGCAGACAGTGTATTTATCACCGGCAATCATAAGGACCTCTATATCTGTCACTTAAATAAACTGTACCGTTTAAGTAGCTCGTCGTTTCGGTTTCTCACCGAACGCGACCAAAGAGTGGCCGTGCTGGTCCGTGAGCACGACTGGACTGAAGGTGCCGTCCACTATTAGTGTGTCTGAATCGTAACAGTTTAGTATATTGAACCCAATGGGACTGATAGTGGTGAATTGATTATCACTCAGATTTTCTGCCTTAACCATTCCACGTGACACCTGAGCACCCACACCTCGGGCCAGCCCTCTCCTCTTGCAGGCTCCTACCAGTGCTGTGCCGCCTTCCTGACACCCCAGCTCTCTGAGAAGGAAATATCCCCCCTCTTCATCCCGAGCTTTTCAACTGGGAAACACCATCACTCAGGGCTTATCTTAATGTTATCCCCGAGACTGCCCTGGTGCAGATGTTCCCAGATAAAGGTTACGTGGGCTGTGCGGTTTCAATACACTTTGCACCATCCTTGTGGATGCTGCTTTAACAACAGCCACGTTCAATTCCATGCTCACAAAGCAAACGCACTCCAGCACCATTAGCAGAGCACATCTCTCCTTCACCCAGATGAGAGAGATGATGTTTGTTTCAAAACAAAGCCAAAATGAGGTAAATTTGTCTTAGCATCCATCTTTTATTTCTTGTTTGTGTGACGCTTGGAGAAAAAGTTTTCACAGTCCCCAGGTTGGTGCTTAATTTCTTCATCTGCAAAATTCAAAGAACAACTTTCCTGGAGCCAGTATAAAAATCCAGGTGCATACCAGAACAACAGCTTCATTTGTTTAGCCTTTTTTTCACAGCTTTCAGGTTATTTGATGTTGATATTAATTCTCTAAATTACAGAAGCTTTCTTTTCATCAAAAATCCTCTGATCTATCGGCAGAGCGTTTACCTCCTATCAGCCAATCGTGCCACGTGCTCGCTCCCCGAAGGACGTGGTACAGTTTCTGTTTCCAGACAGCATGCCAAGAGCAGAGCGCTTCCAGAGCCCCGGCGCTCCTGTTTGCAGTAACAAAGAGCTCCTCTGCAGTTATTTGGTTTGGCCAGAACACGCTGGCACGCACACCGGCGCACCGACGCCGGGTCGCTCCCTCCCGCCGCGACCCGTCCCCTCCGTCGCTGCCACCGACACCCCCCCCCCCCCGTCCCATCCCCGCTGGGCGCAGCGGCGGTGGCACGGGGCGCCCGTCCCTCTGCGTGGTGACCCCCCAGCCCTCTCGCCACCACTGGCCGCAGCTCTGGCTCCAGTTCCCTGAGAAGTGATGGGAAAATGGTGCTAAATATATAGCGACGGCGGGTCGATCGCCGTTTTTCGGGGTTGGTTGGGTCTCAGAGCACGGACAGGAGGAACGGGAATGGTCCTCCCGCTCCGCTGTGGGCACCAGTGGGATGCGGGGAAGACCGACACCCTGGAGCCGACACCGCCCTGAGATATCTCCCCCGGCACGTTGCCCCAGGCAGAGCTCCGGTGCCGTGGGTGCTGCACCCAAGTGCAAGGGCACAGGGTCCACGTTGAGGGGACCCGGGTCCGAGCAGCGTGTGACGGGGCTCTCCCGGGCGCGTGAACTCACCCTGCCTCACCCTCACACACCCGCCCCGCTTTGCAGCTCGGCGCCGCGTTCCAAAGGAGTTTGCCCAGCTCGCTCCTGCTACACCACTTGGAGCAGCCTGGTTGTCTAACAGTTGGGAAATTCCTTCTGGTTCGCAGCCCAGGTTTATTTCTGATGCCTATATTAATGTGTGCCCAGGTAGTGCCTCTCCTCTGGTGAGCCAGGAGACAAATAAATCTGGGAATGAAAACCAGAAGGATGGAATTTCCCAACCAATCTCACTTTTTTCCTTCCTGGGACATTTTCAGGGTTGCTCGCTGCTCAAAGTTGGCACTGATATCTGCTGGAAGGACGATACAGCAGGGCTCAAGCAACCTAGGAGATCTGTAGATACATGGACAACAGCTTCCTGGCCCAGGTGGGGAAGGAGCCAGCGAGTAAAGGGGCTCTGCTGGACCTGACCATTTGAAACAAGGATGAACTGATCAGGAATGGGAATGTTGGAGCAGCCTTGGCCACGGGGACCATGAGGTGGTGGAGGTCAGGATCCTGGGAGGAGGGAGCAGGGCCTGGTCTCCTCCAGTGGCATCGCCACGAGTGATGGGAAGGGGAACACAGATGGGGCAGGGTGATGGGGAAGAGGCGGGACAGGCACTGTGGCTGCCAACAAGCCTCATCGCCAAGCACTAGACAAGATGACATATCTGACTTCAAAGTGCCAGCAGCATCTATCCTTGCTTAGAAGCGCCCTTCCAAAGAGAATGGGCAGGGGCATCTCAGAAATACCACAAATTATCACACTGCGAGCGTGCACCTTTATAGAGCTGGAGGCCACCCAGGCATGCAGACTGCTTCTCCGTCCTCCAGCACTCTGGAAGCCAAAGATCTCGCTGAGAAAACAACTTTGTACCCAATAACTTCCACTCTCCACATGGGCATATATAGATGGGTATAGTCACTGCTGGAAAATCTACTGTTGCTCTCATGAGCTTCTTACAGCAGTTAATTATTCTCATTATTCAAAAGAAAGCTTTTCTTTCTAATCAGAATGTGTCTGGCCTCATTTTCCATTCATTCAAATTCATCCCTCTCAAGGACATTACAATGATCCTTAGCATCAGATGTTTTCTCCTGAGACTTCCACCCTGAAATGAAGATGCCTCTACAGCTCTTTAAAAATTAATATGTTTTGCACCCTTTATAGATCAAGTATTTTCTCCAGCACTTGAATAATGTGCCTGTTCTCCCTCCCTCCCCCTCCAGATTTTTTTGCTATCTTTTAAAACACAGACCCCACACCAGAAAGCAGGATTGCAGCACCGCTCTCACCACGAGCAAGCCCACCCCCAGACTGCACTGCAAGACTGACATTAACCTGCTCCTCCCTAGAAATTCCTTTTAAGGCTAAAACAGCCTGGATTGGTACAAGCCCCAGATAGGTCAGCCAGGCCAAAAGCCACCAGCTTATCCTCCACTGAGCCCAGCAATGGATGTTTTCTAGAGATCTTTACTCTAAAATGTCTCTGGTCAGATGTGCTTTATTCTCTGGGCACATGTTGCACCGGACAGAGCATCCCTTGGGGTACGGCCCAGCCCTCAGAGGCTGCACTAAAGCACCCCTGCCTAACAGATCCGAATTGCTGGAGCAGCTCCATGGATCCAGCCCTCTCTGCACTTTCCTGCTGCTCTGGGAGGGTTTTCAGCTGCCCATTTCTGCCTTCAGCAAGGGCAGGGCAGCTTCAACACCCTGCGCCGTGACCACCGCCGAGATCGCCCTCCCGTCTGTGTTAGCCAGCAGGTTCACTCCTGCAGGTTTTTAGATTAAACGTCTCCTTCCACATGAACCTGCACTAAGCACAGCACACGCCATAACTCACCTGTGGGTATAGGCAACCACCCTACAAACACCAAAACTTCTTGTTTGCAAACCATCAAAACGGTGGTGGTTGCTGAGCCTTTGGCAGTGACACAGCGGGTGTAATTTTAACTTCAACCCTTCCACAGATTCTGCACCTCCCTAAAAGCCTGGGAACTTGCTCCCTCAGCACAAACAACTCGCCAGTCTCCTGCCCCGGCCACGAACAAGGGGCTGCAGGGGCTGGGGGACCCGCACCCGGGAGACAGCTCACTCTGCTTCCACCCGTCCCCACCCCATCTCAAACCGCAAGAAGAAACAGAAAAGGAACACTTCTTTCCCATTTCTTCTGATAAAGAGCTGCAATACCAGGCAGATGTTTTAGACTCCTCTGTTGTACTTATGTAGAGGAAGCTCTCCAGATGGTGCTCATGAGCCAAAGATTTCTGTGACTCAAAACACGGAGTTTTGCTCTTCTTGATTCATCAGACCAGGAGAAGCATATTTGATGACAGAAATGGTAAAACAGATAAAGGGAACTCACCTGTTCATATCCCACCATTGGGGGAAGACTGTGCTTCTTAGTTTCAAGCTGGCACCCCACATCTCACCTGAAGTCACCAGATGGCCTCCCATCTGCTCAGCTGACATTCAGAGGAGCTTGTCTTGATCCCCAGCAGTTCCTGGGACCAAAGGCTTATTTTTCATGGCCTTTAACACCACAGAGGACTGCTGCAATCACCCACCTTCACCCTCTTCATAACACCATAAAGCATCTGTAAGATGATTTGCTTTCATTTTCATTGAAAGGGGACTGTGAACCAGCTCTCAGTCATTATCGTGGCTGAGGAAAGTTGGACCAAAGTGCTGGTTTCTCCTGATTTTCTCCCCCTCATCTTTTCCCCATCGTTACTGCAGGGGTGGGAGAGGTGTTTCACGGGGACTGGGCATCGCTGGTGTATGCTGGGGCAAGGAGCAGGACTTCTCCTCGAACCCAGCAGCCTCCAGCCTCCCCTGGTCCCTCCCCATGCCACCGAGAGCCGCATGCATGGAGGGACTCTCCCAGCTCACCATACGTTTTTAAAAATGTGGCCCGCGGGACAGGGTGAAGAGTTTGAGAACAAGCTGAGGGGAACATGGACCTGAATTGGCCACCACCCCCCACACACACAGAGCTACGGGAACACGCTGGGACCCCCACATTGACCACTGGCCGAGCATCACCCAAGGTGCCCTCGCCAACACGCTCCTTCCCTCGGATGCCCGCGTTCCTCTGGAGCCGCCTCCGCGGGGGCTGCAGCCCCCTTCTCTGGTACAGCCCGTACCCCTCCTCCCTAGGAGTATGACTTTGCATTCGCCTCTGTTAAATTAGCTGTCTTTGCATCATCTAAAAACCTCATTAGCCATGATTTTATACTTGCTTCTACACAACTGGTAACAATCATATACAGCATCGGACCCAGCATCCAATCAATCGCTACTGAATCACCCCGGGAATATGTGGAAAACTAGTTCTCAATGGGGGGCTGTCACTGGAATAAGACTTTGCAGCTAGCCAAACTCCATTGACATCTGCTTTACTTATTATTTATTTGTTTGTTTGCTTGCTATAATGAGGTATATATCACAACGTTGTGAAAATTAAAAAATACTCACTGTTGTATTCAACCTTCAGGTAACTTTATTACCCAAATGTGGAAGTCATCAGAAAATGAAATGATATGATTCTGCGGAAGCTAAACAGAAAAGAATAAGTACTGATTGCCATTAATTACATTCTTGCCCTTTTTACACTTTATTGATCAAGTCTCATATTCACTTTTCCATTATTTTATTTGGAGCTAATGTCAAACTAAGCAGTTTCAAATTTCTTCAGTAATCCCATTTCACCTTTTTAATATCAGCACATGTCAGAAAGGGTTTTGTTTTTTCTTTTTTTTTCCAATAGTTTTGCTAAGCATGGCAATACTTGAGGAAGACTTGCAGGCCCGGTGGCTCCCCCATCAGCTCTTCTGGACCCCCCCAGGCACGCATTATCCAGACCTGCTGATTTCCACTTGCCTGAGTCCAGTTCCCAACAGCTCTGGATGGGATGAATCTGCAGTCGAAATTGTGAATGGAAATATTCACAGGCAAAAGTCTGAATTGAAATGGGTACCGCAATATAAAGAGGTTTGAGGTGCGCTGGAGATTTTGGGGTTGCCTGAGGTGTCTGTAATATTCAGCAAAACTTTGTCAGCAGAGATGCATCAGAAATACTTCCTCAGGTGACTGTGTCAAGGCAGAAGTCCTGAAAACAGGGACATTTTCCATCTCCACCCCACAGGCACAGTCAGGCTCTGGGAAGGCACCTCTGCCCTTTGCTCCTTTCACAGACCCAAACCATCTCCTTTTTCCTTGAAAACGGGGCAGAGAGGAGGCACTCCCTGGTAAAACTGCCCTTTCATTGCGGCATGACACCAGGAACGGGGGGACACGGGCCCGTGGTCCATCCACATGGTCCTGCAGCTCGGTCCCAAAGCCTGCAAGACCGGTCCACGCAACGGATCACCCTGGAATTACACTAGCGAGCCCATTCTGGGTGCAGAAAAGGGATGGAGGAGGGGCCTAGAAATTCAAACCAAGAGGGAGAGAGAGAAAAGGGATGGTTCTTGTATTTGCTAGCACCACTACACAGGCTTCAAAACCATTATCTCAGCTTTCACCAATGTAAGTGTTATGTCACTGGCCATGCCTGTATTTCTCTAGTAACCCCTGCCATCCTCCTCACCCTTAGGCACATCCCTTTTTCAGTAGCTGTGGCCCTACTAGAGAAAATATACTAATGACCAGCTTACTGGTGTTACTAGTAGGAATATGAATATTTGCAAAACACTTTGAGATACTTGAAAGAAGAGTACTGATGACAGGTTACTGATGACAGGTAGTCATATTTTTATTACCACAGCTGATGTGATATCAAGATTTGCTCCCAGTTTCCTCCCCAGCTGGCTGCCCCAAGAAGGACCTCTGTGGAAACGGTAGGAGAGGAGGTTTGGGGGGCTGGAGGCCCTCATCCTGCTGGACTTGGCTCAGTTACCCCCAGTGTGGGATCAGGGACACTTCTCTGTGCAAACGTGTTGTACTTCAGTTCCATCCGACGTTAGCTAGCAGGGCTTTTCCCCGCACTTGGCAGCCCGGCTGGCTCTGCGCGTGTCCTGGGAGTCCAGAGACAGAGATGCTAAAACGGGACCGGGATGTCTCCCGTGACCGCTGACCCCCCGTTCACCCCGAAGTGCCCAGCCCAGCCAGAAGCCAGCAGGTCTTCCCATCCTTGCCCACAGCACAGCGCGGAGGAGCAGCAGGGAAGCAAACCCACCGTGTTGGCAGCAAAGCCTACAGCCCCCCCTCTTAGGCGGGGAAGGACACCAAGACCTGATCACCTCGGGTCCTGGCAAGCTACCTCCATGCTCTCCGGCTGCCCCAGGCGACGGCTGGCTGCGGTGCCAACAGCCGGGGAGCTGGGCTGAGCCGAGCAGTGCTCCCACCATCTCTGTGTCCTTGCAGCCTTCTGGGAGGGCATCAAGAGAGAGGAGACCTGAGGGGCTTCGGAGAGCATCACTGCCCCAGCCACGCCTGCTCCCATCCCATGGAGACAACAGCCAGCTCGAGCAGAGACGCTGGTGTACTGGGATAACAGGCACACATATTATATGTACTTCTTTAATGCTTTCTGTTTCATAAGATCCTCAATAGCGCCTAAATGATTCAGAAACTATTTTTGCTTGCAAAGGCCTCAACTGTACAAATACCCAAGAGGACAACGCAGGGGATCCCAGGAACACGGGAACAGTGGTGGTCCCCGGTGTTTGGCTCCCGCCATCCCAAACAGCTGTTTCCCACCAGCACCTCTGGGAACCCATCCAGCTGTTCTGCAACACAGCTATGCGTTGGATGTTGATGGGCGTTGAACACGCTTATTTTGAAAACGTTCCCACCTGGTCCGTGTTTGCCAGGTCCCCACTGTCTTCCATTCGTTTCCCTCTTTTCAAAGTTTTATTTCACCCCTCCCATCACTAGACCGGCCCGGTTGCCCATTCCCACCTGCCTTGGCCATGCCCTGCTGCCCAAGCCCCCCAGCTTGAGCAGATGAGCCACATGCTCCCAGATCTGCCTTGTTCTCACCCCGTAGATGCTGGGGTTGAGCATGGGCGGCGCCACAGCGCAGAATCTGGCCAAGGAGATGAGGACACACCGAGGAACGTGCTGGCCAAACCGGTGCACCAGGAAGGAGAAGGCGGCCGGCGTGTAAAACGTGGTGATGGCACAGAGGTGGGAGCTGCAGGTGTGCGGAGCCCTTGGGGGAGGCACGCGGGGATGGCAGCCCCCAGAGGCACCTGAAAATCAACCCGTAGGAGACAGCGATGGACGTGGCATCCAAACGGGCTGAAAGGAAGCCAGCAGCTGCCCCATCCCAGATGTTGACGGAGATGCCGGCGCAGGCCGGCCGGGCCACACCGATGTGCTCCTCGCAGTAGGTGTGGGGCATGACGTTGTGCCCGTGGTAGGGCAGCCCCCCGAGGAGGAAGACGGGGGGGAGCATGATGCAGAAACTCCGGATGAAAGCCACCACGTCGATCTTCCCCACGACGGAGCACGTCAGGATGGCCGCGTATCGCAGGGGGTCATAAATGGCGATGCACCCATCAGAGGCCATCGCCAGCAAAATGGCCAACTCCGCCACAAAAACGGAACAGGGGGAGAACATCTGTGCCAGACAGCCACTGGAAGAGATATGGGTGGGCAGAGACCAGAGGACGTTGAAGGTTTTGGGGCATGGCGGCAGTGGAGAACAGCAGGTCGCACACAGGAAGATGCACGTGGGCTCATGGAGACTGCGCTCCTTCACGATGGTGACCAGCAGGACCGAGTTCTCGAGAAGGGCCGCAGAGTACGTCATGCAGACTGGGATGGAGATCCACGTGGGAGACTATCCCCACCAAGATGAGGTGAGATCCCGACCGGTTGGGTCCTGACATGGCTCGATGCAACCTTATGTCATTTCTGGCTCGCCGGAGCTGTGCAATGGTAGAAGGGAAGGTTCTAAGAGCATCTGAACTATACTGGGGATACAAATCATGAACTCATGATTAGTGTTGTTCGTGGCACAGACACTTTATCTGGAGGTGTTAAATATTGGGCAATTTGCCCCATCAGGGTTGCCCTCCACTAGTCAGGTCCCTTCACTAGGAGCGATCGTATCTGCTGTCTGAGTCTTTGACGCAAGGAAAGTGTTTTGCCTGCAACTGCCCTCAGCTGCTGGGAACTAGAGCAAAATATGCGGGAGATTCACTCTTGAAACAGTGATCGCATAAATGCTACTCTGGTTGACATACTTGGATGTGACACGCCCCCCCCCCCCCCCTTTATGGTGCAATTGAGAAATCTCCAGGGTTGGAAATGTATTAAGGAAAATTCTCTGCTCTCCGATGACTGTCACAAAGACGGTATGTGCATCGCTTACCCTGCTCTGGGACACCCAGCTTTCAGTGACTCGGAGCTGTTTGAAAGCTACCTACGAAACCAGGACACAAGGAGCTTGATCAGTCCGTATCAACTCCTACGAAAGGTCCGTCTGTAACTGTGTGTGAGCTCACTCCACCCCGAGCAAGGTGAGTGAGAGGCAGGGGGGGAGCCCCTTTCATCCCAAAAGCTCTGCTTCAGAAGAGCCCCAGGCAGCAGTGTCTGATCGCCCAGGTAGCTTGCAGAAATTCTCTTGTCAGAGTTACAGAGAGAAAAAGTGAAAAGCCACCAGCAGCAGGGCATTATCAAAATGTCCAGGGTCTAACGAGGAATTTACAGTGCCCTGAGGAGTTACCAGCTGTGTGTCAGGAGCTGCCACCACCAAGCTCCGAGCTGCTGCTGGATTGCCAGGTGCTACTGAGCCAGTGCAAAACAAATAATGAAACTCCCTGGCACTGGGGACTACAGTTTTAGAGAATATGGGAAATTTACAGACAGACTTCTGTACTAGCTCCCACCCCGTGCACTTCAAGTATCAGAACACAAGTCTATTCTCGCTCCAAGTGAAATCCCTTTACATCCCCTGTGTCTGGAAGAACTGAGCAGGGGAAGCATGCTGCTTCCATCCCCTTGAGAAACGCATGGTCCTGTGCCCTCCGTGCCCCACTCAGGCAGGGACGTTGGGATAATGCAGCCAGAACCGCTGCCAGGAAATGTTGACGGATCTCCGGCAGTGGCACCACGCAATAAATCGTGCAGGGACCCCTGCCGTGCCCCTGTCTCTCCAATCCATCTCTACCTCACCAAACCCAGTCGAAACAACAGTGCCGTGACCCAGCCAACTCACCAGGGAGCCAGCACCGGGATCCTGGGTGTTTACACTGGGTCCGGAGCGTGTCCTGGCGCAGCCCAGGGCAGGGGTGGTTGTGCTCCTACCTGACGCAGGTGGCGAAGAGCATCAGGGGCATCACCAGTTCGTTTTCCCTGAGTATTTCCTATTACTATGCTAATTGGGTAGGGATTGTACAAGCCCTGCAGAGCTTCAGGTTGTCCTCGAAGCAACCTCGGTGAATCCCCATCAGCCCATCACCCACCACCGCCCCCCCCCCCCCCCCCCCCCCCCCCCCCCGACCACAGGAACTTCTGCAAAATTCATTGCCTGGTCCTGGATCCCAAAGAGGTTCCCCGGGGCTGTGCAGGAGCCAGCCTGGGCAAGCAGGGACCTGACAATGAGGTGTGAGTTTTACCCTCCTCCTTGCCCTAAGACTGAAAGTGCTTTGGGACCAGGACCTGTTTTATCTTTTTGTGAACAACGGAGAGAAATTTGGGAGCTCTGAGCTGGAGATCAGCAGATATTCCTGCTATAAACCCTTTGAGCTGATTTTGTCCTCGTTTCTGATTTTAGCAGACAGCAATGGATTTATTGAACTACTGTTCCTCCGCTAGAAACCTGCAGAGACCCTGAGCAGACTGTAGTGGGGTCAGGGGAATGCAATCAGCAGCTTCCTGACTGCCACAACCCTTCAGGGGAGCTGTCAGGGACCTTTGGGGACCAGCAGGCCCCTCTAACACATGAGAGCAAATCAGTCAACCAGTAACTCCATCCTGGCTGCCGAGTTACCATCTCATTTTAGGCAGGACAGCTTACAGGGATGTGCTATTTATTATCCGCCTGTCTGTGTAGTGGGGATTTTTATTAATTAACTAACATTTGCTAAGACATTATGATGACGGAGGCGAGATGAAGTAAAATCATTAAGCCATTCTACTCTGATTTATTACCCACAGAGCTCTGCAGATGAGGAACAATTAATAAAGCACCATTGTTTGTAAACAGCAGTAAAAGTGAATGGAAATGGGCTACTTCAACTTGGAACACTGAAGGCTTTGTTCGTGATGAAAGACGTGCTTGTCTCTGTCTATTCAGCAAAGCACTCAAACACAGCTGAAGAGCATTTTCCTTTAAAGCATATGCTTGGAGCTCGACTCGGCACAAACCTGAAGCATGATCTCCACTTCAGGCACAGGCTTGACTCCTTCTCAGTGCACGGAAGCAGCCGAGGAGCCTGCCCACGCCTTCACTGAGGACAGAGGAGTGTTTCTTACAGTGACTCCACTGACTTCCACTTATCTCCCAAAGGTTTTGAGATTTAATTTCTTTTTTGCAAGCGTTATGGGGATGCCATGAAAAAACTTCAGTTAAAATCCCTTCCTCTTACTCAGAAGAGGGTCCTTGTAATCCAAACACGCTTACAGAGAGCCTACCACATCAGCTGAGCTAAAAAAAAAAAATAGGTTTTTCAAGAGTGGGAAATTAAATACAAAGTGCGGAAGTTCTGGTTTCACATCTCGTGTGAGTTATTAAGCTAACATTTTAACCACGTTAGAAATATAAATCTTCCTGATCAGCTGGCTAATATCCCATTATGCATGCCCCTCTGGACATTAATTGCTAAGCTAGTGATTCATTGACTCAGGGACATTTGCCTGAGCAGTTTGCTCCCTGACCCGGCCACCACATCCATCCAAGAAGCGGAGCAGCGCACGGGCTGTGAGCTTGTAACTGCCGCCTCGGTTTTCCAAACCTGTTCTGGGAAACCCGGAGAAGCAGAAGGATCCACTGGTACAGGGAGACACAGCCCACCCCACCCAAGCTGGCTGCTAAAATGTGGGTGCCTGCAGGAATGCATCCCCCCTGCGAGAGCACCCCCCGAGCGCTGGGGGACCACTCGCTGCAGTACAGCACCCCAGGAACTGTCATTCCTTACCCCTTTTCCATCGCTTATACTCAGCTTGGAAGCGATGCGGAGGCAGGCTTTTTGTTCTGCAGTTGTGCAGCGCCTGCCCAGGGGAGATCCTTCCTCCCCCCAGCCCCACGGTGAAGGGGGTGATGGCAGGAGACTCGTGGGCGTTTTATAAAAGGGTCCCTTCCCAGGACCACGCTCAGGCTCGTGCCACCTCTGGGCACACGCGCTCACTTCGGCTGCACCGCCGCGGTGCTCGGAGCTGAGCACATGCCGTGGCTCATCGCTGAGGAGAGGGCAGAGAGGGGAAGCAGCGAAGAAGGCGGCAGAAATAACCGTGTGAGTTAAAGCAGGTAACAGAGACACCAGCGGGCAATACTGTTCTTTAATATTGACAAATTGAGATGGCAGCTCAGCTGTTATTCGAGCCGGCCAAAAGGCTTTCAGGAGAGAACTCTTCAGCAGAGGGTTGCTTTGTCAACAGGTTCTTCTTTTCGGGTAGGAAGGCAGGGCTGGAGGAGACCTTCTGAATCTGACAAGTCTCACAGTCGTGAGCCATCTCCCATCTCACCCCACCTCCAAATCTGCCGTAACCCCCGTGACGGCTGCTGTGCAGCTACTCCAGGTCCTCCACACCCTGAAGACCTTAAACCATCTATCTCAGTCTAAACGTATTCATGTGCTGCCTATAACAACTTGTTCTCCTGACACGTTTTCTTTCTCACAGATCCATCCCTATCAGAAATCAGGCAGACTGCTCTGTGTAAATACTCTTTCTTTTGCTAAGAAAGCCAACACAGACACCAATGTTTTGAGGACATCAAAAAAATCCAATGATACGAGCAGCTTTTGTGAGTGGCTTTTGTAACCAGCTCTGTTATCTTCACTGTTAAGCAAACAGCTTTTAATGAACAGACTTTCATTTCCCCTGTGCCTGTCACACAGTTTCAACCTGTGATGAAATAGAAAAAAAAAAAAAAAAAAAAAAAGTGTGTAGAAAGAGTTAAGAACTTCTGGAGCGGTTTTGATCTGAAATAGTGAGTCTCTTTCTTTCCCATTTCTTTTGAAGTTGTCCCAGGTGTGCGGCGGTGGCTGCCTTCGAGGCAGCTTCCCCACCATGGGCAGCTCTGAAATGGCTTTGCAGCACAGCCAGGCTGTGGGCTTGGCAAGTGCCCACCACCCCTTTGGTCAGGGAGAAAGGGGTGTTCTGCAGAAACGGCGGGATGATCCCCTCCCTCTTGTGCCTGGTGCCTGAACGCCCCAGACCCTCCTGCGGGTCTCACAGCTGAGCTGGGGTCAGAGCATCCCAGCTCCTGACACTGCTGGGAGAGCAGCGCCGCAGAGCGTGAGCCCTCAGGAAGGGCTCCCTAATTGCTGCCATAAAAACCTCCAGTTGCTGCTGGATGAGAGAGAGTTATACTGGCCAGATCCGAGGAGGTCCCCGAGCTCAGGAGGGGACCAAAAAGTGCCCAGAACCCCGTGCTTCAGTAAGAGAGGGATGTTGCTGACAGTAGGTACGACACAGAGTGGAGAAGCAAGCATCCATCCCCGCATCCCACCCAGTAAAACGTGAAGGAAAGGTCTCTGGGCTCTGGTGCATTCCCTCCTCTTCCTCATCCCAGAGCTGCTTCCCACAGCGGGAAGGAAAGCAGTGCCGCAGCTTTGAAGGATACTGGTGGTTTAGTGCTTAAGAACCCCAGAGCCAGAGGAGCCGGGGCTGCGCAGGGAGAAGGCTCAGCCGCCCCCGGGGACCGCGCTGCCCAACCTCCGAGCCTCTTCCCCCCCCCCCGAGCCCTGAGCAAGCGCCGAGAGCATCTCCCTGGTCACCAGCAGCTCGCACTGCCGCCCTCGCAGTGGGTTACAGAAGCCTTGGCATTTAGCAGCTGAGCCGGGATGGCCATCAGGACCCTGGGGTACAGACCCGAGCGGGCGCTGCCCACCCAGCCAGCGGCCCCTTTGAGGTGAGAGCCGGGCAGACGCGAGGGCGGCTCTGACTTTCCCACGGGGCTGAGAAGCTCCAGCCACGCAGCAACAGCCCATTCCTGCTGCAGGTGGGGCTGCAGGAACCAAAAGACTTCCGACAGGAGTGTGGCATCAGCGTGTCCTCCGTCCTCCAAATTATGATGGGGCAGAAACCCACCTCAAAGGCGGAGCAGAGCACGCTGACCTGCCAGCAGAGACCTGAACTGCTGGTGTGAGGTTTTCCAGTGCTGCCTCCACTCCCTCCTCCCCACGGGTCTTCACGGGCACTTGCGACACCTCAGCAGTGCCGGTGCTCACCACACTGAGACGACAAACCCCCCGTCTTTCTGCCCTTGCCACTCGTGAGATTCACCAAAGCAGAGGCAGCAGATGAGTTTACTCTGACAGCCTGCATTGCTGCCCTTGCTGAGGAAGGGAGAGGTAAGGAAAAGGGCTCTCCTTGCTGCTCAGGTTCGTAATGAAGTTAAGCTCAGACTGTATACGGATGCACAGAACTCTCCTTGCCGCTCCTCCAGCAATATCTAGAGTTTGCAGTGCTTTTCACAACTGTTGGAGGCAGGTTGCCACTGACTTCAGGTAGAATACGGTATTATCGACACGACTGGTCCCTACACCAATGAGAGGAACAAGACAAAGTTCAGCAAAGCTATTTTGGTGTTGAAGGATAAATCGATTGTACAAAACCAAAGCGGTGGGTGATGAGCCAGACGCATGGGCACAAAAGGATCTTGAGGCACCAAGTACTTCACACCGAGCACTGCTCAGCAGCGCAGCGCAGGACAGAAAACGTCCCTGTGGGATGTGTTGGATGTAGGAGACCATCGTGCACTCCGCTCTAAAGGCTTGAATTCAGTTTTGGACATCATGGTTTAAGGGATGTGTTTCCCTTAAACACAGGACAATAAAGCCCTTCTCGTCCTCCCAGGGCTTTCCGGCATGTAAACACCTTCAGCAGCAAGAGGTCCCTCAGCAATGCAAGCTGTACCCGTGAAGACAGGAGCACAGACCATCATCTGTGCCGCGGTAAGCGGCACTTTGTCCAGCCAGGTTCGTGTAGCAGGCTCTGGCCTTGTGACCAACGAGCTGTTCACGGTCTAGACACTGGGATAACAGGTCAAGGAACAAACAGAAACTAAGCTGCAGGACAGCAGACAAAATCAGCAGCAGTAGGTGATGGTAAATCAGATGTAAGAGCCTTGATGCTCCTCAGCTGAACTCTGCCCAGTCTCTGTTGGATGGAC